ACAGCCTGGCCCGCCCCTCGGGCCTCTCCCCCCACCTCATGCTCAGTTGAGAGCCACGCCAGAAAGCGGTGCTTCCTCACGTGGTGCTGGGTAAAGCGGCCCCATGCGGCCGCGCCACCGCCGACAGTTCCCAGCCGTGCTCTACGGGACCAGGCCGGGCAGGTGTCTCCTCCTGTGCTCCCCAGGTAACCAGAGCCAGGAACCTGGGAGTCCCCTCTGTCACCGGCCGGACAGGTGACTGTGCAGGCGACCCAGCCTCCGAGAAGCCAGCACCGGCACCTCGGCCCTCAGCATCAGGGGCGCGGAGAAGCCAGCATTCAGGTGCCTTTGTAAGGGGAAGAGCGAGTGCTTTGCCGACACCAGGGATTCCCGGGACCGAGAGCAGCGAGAGGTGCCCTGCGGCCGCCCTGTCTCCAGGCGGCGAGGCTGCTCACAGCAGCAGAGGGTGCTCGGCCCGGGTGACCACCAAGCAGCTCGAAGGTGACAGGAGCTGCGCTGTCTCCCTCGGGGGCTGGGCGTCGGGGGCAGAACAGACATGCTACACATGTGCTCAGGGAGAGCGGGCGGGGGGGAGGCAACCCGCACCAGCCCTCTCCTCCCAACCCCAAATGCACCCGAGCCAGCAGCCCGTCTCAATCCTGTTCATGGAACATTTGCTCCTCGCAACCCTTTCATTCAAGGAAGAGACCGGTTCTGTCCTGCCCCTAAGCGCAGGCTACGAGGAAGGTTCAAAAAGCTCTGAGGCCAGGCCGGTGTGGCTCAGTGGTTGGTGTTGACCCATGAACCAAGAGGTCACTGGTTCCATTCATGGTGAGGGCACATGCCTGGGTTGTGGGCTCCATCCCCAGTAAGGGCGTGCAGGAGGCAGCCGATTGACTCTCTCAACAATGTTTCTATCTCTCTATCCCTCTCCCTTCTTCGACCTCTGAAATCAATAAAAACATACTTTAAAAAAATAAAGCCGCTGTCGGAAGGGGAGGGCAGGGCGCACGCTGAGGCCTGCTGGAGAACATCAGCTCAGGGGCCTGGAGGCCCATCCAAAGGCCCTCGCTCTCAGGTCCTCTGCCAGACGGTTACCACGGGGACGCTGAGGCCTCCACAGAGCACCCACCTCTCCCTAGTCCAGGCTCACAAGGGCCAGCGCAGGCTAATGGTCAGTGAGCTGAGCAAACCCAGAAGCGAGAAGTGAGCAGAGGCCCTCGCGGCAGGAGCTGCACGGAGCGCCGGCATGGACCCTGGAGGAAGCTGGACCAGCAGATGAACGGACACAGCCCGGGGCCGAGCTGGGGAGGGGCCTCTAACTTGGGGACACCCACAGGGGCAATGAAGTACCACCGCTCGGGATACTTCAGCCATCCTGGCACAGGTCCAGGGCGCTGGTGCTGTGGGAAGTGACCACATGGGGACCCGCAGGCCGCCCAGACAGACATTTCCGGGAGGACAACACAGTGGCCCCTAGGGACAGAGGCATCTCCCTTCGCCACTGGATTCCAGAGGTTCTTCCAGGACGGGGGCGGGGAGGGGCACGGTACTTTTCCACAAGCTCCCAGTGCCCAGAGGCGCTCCCCAGCCAGGCGGCCACCCTCCGTAAACTCAGGTGCGGTGGTCAACGCTGTCCCTCGGCAACGCCGGCCCCTCTTCCCTACTTCCCACGAGAAGCAGCGCGAGGGGAGGCACTGCTGTCAGCGGAGCAGGGGTGTTCTCGGAACAGCGACTCCACCTCCTGGGAGACTGGCCTCACAAAACAAGAAAGGTCCTGAGGACACAAGCCCCAGCCGACTCCACTCGCCGAGTCGCACCGAAACCCTCCAAGTGCCGGACCTGCTGGGCCCCAGCACCTGTGGGGGAAACCAGCAGCCCCTGTGCCCCCGCTGGCCAGGTGGGGCTACACAGGCCTCAGGGGGGCCTCCGGGGATGTCCGCTGGCTCGCTCTCTCCCACAGGCCGCCTCCTGTGCTGGACCCTTGGCACCTGGCGGACACTGAACCGAAGGCCGGGACCGCCAGGGCCTGCCCCTGAGATGCAGACCAGCACACACCTGGGCACCACAGGACACGGGAGAGACCCACCCACAGGCTTGTTTTTCTCCTTCGTTTCCCAGTTTTCTCTGAACCAACGTGAACTTTAATAACAAAAGACAATCACTTTTAACAAAAAGAGCACCCCCCCCCCCAGAAATTGTAACGCGGGCCCTATTTACCATAAAGCCGCACGTGGTCCTGCAGCAACGAGGGAAGCTGAGACTCTCATGGCAAAACTCAATTGCAAGGCGGCGTGTGCAGTTAGTTCACTCAAAGAAACGGGAGGGCCCAGAAACAGGACAGTGTCACAGAAACAGTCCACGAAAGCCACGGAGTGGCGAGGCTCCATGAGAGCAGGGGTGTTGGCCACGGGAGCCCAAGTGGCTGTAGGAAGCAGTTTCCATCTGGAACCTGGGACCTGGGACCCGGGACCCGGGGTGGAGAGGGGAGAAGAGCGAGCCAGCAGGCCCAGGGCCTTGGGGTGGCTGCACGCATAGCCAGGCAGGTGGCCACAAAAGCAGGGGCCCTTGACCCAGGGGCCATGGGAGCAGGAGGAGAGCTGCCTGGGCTCCGTGCATCCCCACACCTTGTAGGTCCTCAGGGTACGCAGGACAAGTGGGGGTCCTGGGTGCTGGCCTGGCTTCTTGCCCCACAGCCCAGCGAAGACAGGCACCTTCTTTCACACCCCGCCCTCCTCTGCTGCCCAGCCGGCCGGCCACACCAGTGTACGCTGCCTCCTGAGAGCAGAGCTGCCGACCGGATGGAGTCCTGGAGTGACCCGACCCCAGTCATCAGACCCTGAGCACCTCTAGACTCCACGGTGGCCCCAGCACGGTGGCCCCGGGGAACCCATTCCTGGGCCCAGATGCCACACACACTCATGCTGACATCTGCTCTAAATGGCTCCGAGGGCCTGCTCTCCTGCCCCTCGTCCCCCTGCACAACAACCTTCCCCATGTCCTGAGCAAAGGCTACCTGTCACCTGCCCTGGGGCAGGAGCCCTCTGGGGCACGGCCACTGCTGGTCTGAAATACAGTGTGGAAGGGAACATGCCGCCAGCAACAAGCTCCGCGGCCCAGCCGAGGGTTTCCCAGCCTTCCTTCCGAGGGCGCTGGAGACGGCTGAGCCAGCGGTGTGACGGCAGGTCTCTACCGGCTAACCTGCCGGCCAGGAGCCAGGGAGCAGCCCGTGGCCACGCCAGAGCGTCCAGCTGTTCAGTTCATGGGATCAGGTCGCTGACATGAGGCGGGACCACACGGCACTGCACCAGCTCGAGCGAGGTTACCCGCCCGCCCTCCACGGCACGGCGTGACTCCGTCAGCAAACCTGCCTCACGTGACTGATTGTGCACCTCCCGCTGCTCTGACCACTGCACAGCAGGAGCAAAATCTCACTCAGAACGCGGTGGTAACAGACACGGCACACATTACTGCTAAGATGAGACACCTTTAGATACGAATTCCTACACACAGGTTCCCTGGCCACCGGGCCACCCTGGTCCCTGTGCACAGCTCAAAGGCCCCGCTCCAGCCCTCACCACCTGGCGCCTCCGTGGAGCCATCAAAATCCCCTGGAAACACAGATCTGGTGGCTGAGGGACAGTCACGGTGTTCCCACCTGAGAATGACAGATTCCTGTCTGTCCGGTGCGTCCGGAGGACCCTGGACACGCCCACACGTCCCAGTGTCATCCTCCGCGCCACCCAGATGCCAGCAGCACGGCCCGACCCGTCCCTCCAGGTTAGGCCACGGCGAGGCCGCGTGAGCTGCACCTACCTCAGGGCGGGCGTCCGTGGAGCCCTGCGGGGCTGCGGGTGCCGGCGGTTTCTTCAACTTCCTGTTCTTCTTCTCTGGCGTGCCGGGCGTCTCGGGAGCCTTCCTCTTCGGCGCGGCCATCCTGCCCAGGAAAGCAGACAGGAAGGACCATGCTTGTACGTGCTCCCGCGTGAAGCACAGAGGTGTTTCCGGGAGCACGGAGCACGTGTGAACGTGACAGGAGGCCAATCGCCCAGCGTCATCGCCTCCGACAACCAACCCAACCATGTGGTGGATGCCTTTCTCTTTCCTGAGGTTTTAGCAGGCAGGGTCGGCGAGTAGGTTGACAGTTCTTCGTATGAAAATGACACAATAATTACTAAATAATAACACAAGAATACACTGTTTCGCTTACTCACAGCTGTAAACCTAACTTCCCCACCCTGTATACATTCTGTCTTTCTTTTTTGTATGTTTGTGTTTTTTTAATTGCCTTCTCAGAGAGGAAGGGAGAAGGAGAGATGGGAGCAAGGAGAAGCATCCACGGGCCGCCTCCTGCACGCCCGAGCTGCCATCGTCATGTGCCCCGACCGGGAATGGAACCGTGACCTCCTGGCGCATGGGATGATGCTCAACCAACCGAGCCACATGGGCTGGGCTATATTCTGTATTTCTAACTAAACACGAACACGAAGCTTTTTAACATTAAGAGAAAAGGCCCAACACATCGACTGGTTGCCTCCTGCATGCACCTCGACCGAGGCTCTTGACCAGAATCAAACCTGCGACCCTCAGTCCAAGGGCCAATGCTCTAACCACTCAGGAAACCAGCTAGGGCAAGAGAAATATCATTTTAAAAATTTTCTAAAAGTGCAAATTACAGCCGAACCGTTTGGCTCAGTGGATAGAGCTTTGGCCTGCGGACTCAAGGGTCCCGGGGTCGATTCCAGTCAAGGGCATGTACCTTGGTTGCCAGCACATCCCCACTGGGGGGTGTACAGGAGGCAGCTGATCGATCTCTCTCATCGATGTTTCCAACTCTCTATCCCTCTCCCTTCTTCTATGTAAAAAAATCAATAAAATATATTAAAAAAAATAAAAGTGCAAATTACAAAAACGTGTCTATTCCCCGATTATTGACCATTTGGGGTTATTTTTTTCCTGCTGTTACGCTGACTCGCACCAGAGCACGGGCTGCTCACACGTGGAGCCCACGCTGCACCGGCGACGGCTCCTCGGCCGAGGAAGCAGCAGCGCCGGGGCCAATAAGGGGCTGACAGCGGCGAGGGCTGCATGGGCGCCGGTGCACCTGCTTTCTCCGGCTCCACAGGACCCAGCTCCACGCGCAAGAACAGAGAAAAGCCCACGGGTTCTAACCCAGGCGCCTTCGCGGGGCCACGGCCTGGGGAAACCCAGAGGAACGGTGGAGGCTCGGGACCTCCGAGTGGGGACGTCTGAAGGGACCAGGCTGATTTTCGGAAGAAGCAGGAACGGAACCAACTTCAGCTGCTGGTGCCGGGGGCGGGGGTGGGAGTGGGGGGCAGAGCAGGAAGAAGGCCCCGCCCCCCACCGGCTTCCGGCCCCTGTGGGTGGAGCCTAAAAAGGAGCTGAAAACAGAGCAGCATTTGCCGAGACGCTGCCACGTGGGCATCGTGACGCAGGGGGACAGGCGCCCCTAGAGCTGTGACCACACGGTGACCAGCCTGCAGACACACGCGTGCATTTCCCGGCACTTCCTCCTTAGTGGAAATAACCCCATCACAGAGCAACAAGGGACTGAATAAGTCAATCAGGACCAACCAGTGCAATGGAATCCATTCAAAAATCACAATAGCCCGGCCGTGTGGCTCAGTGGGTGAGCGTCCACTGGCAGGGTAGGGCAGCAGGCAGCCAATCAAGATTCTCTCTCATCAAGGATATTTCTATCTCTCTTCCTCTCCGTTCCTCTCTCTGAAATCAATAAAAACATCTTTTAAAAATCACAATAAATGAGAATGCATTACAGATATAGGATGAAAAATGTAGAACACTATGTGTAGTACCACTGACCAATTTTGTTTTTAAGAAAATGCTGACATAACAACAGAGAAAGCTCCATTTGTGTATGTATATTCCCCTAGCATTGAAAATGTCTGTGGACATCAACAAAACCTTTGCCTAAGGGGTGGGGTTACAAGGAACTATTTTTTTACAGCTCAGTTTTATCTTGCTTTTCTCAAGGCTCTATACTTGAAAAGCATAATTAGCACTGTGATAAGAAACCTGGAAAGAATAAGAGACTGTTGACAAAGGGGCTTTGAAAAGACAAAGAACTCTGCCAGCCAATTACCTTGTTGAAGAAATAAGAAAAGTTTAGCACAGTGGTTCTCAGCCTGTGGGTCACGACCCCTTTGGCGGTTGAACGACCCTTTCACAGGGGTCGCCTAAGACCATCCTGCATACCAGATACTTACATGATGATTCACAACAGTAGCAACATGACAGTGATGAAGTAGCAACGAAAATAATTTTTTTTAAATATATTTTATTGATTTTTTACAGAGAGGAAGGGAGAGAGACAGAGAGTTAGAAACATCGATGAGAGAGAAATATCGATCAGCTGCCTCCTGCACATCTCCTACTGGGGATGTGCCCGCAACCCAAGTACATGCCCCCGACCGGAATCGAACCTGGGACCCTTCAGTCCGCAGGCCGACGCTCTATCCACTGAGCCAAACCGGTTTCGGCAACGAAAATAATTTTATGGTTGGGTCACAGCATGAGGAACTGTATTTAAAGGGCCAGAAGGTTGAGAACCACTGGTTTAACAAATATTTACATAACAGTTACCATAAAAGTTAAATCTATATTCATTCTGTAAGTTATCATTAAAAAGTTTAACCACCAAGTCTATTTGCTAAAAGGGGGAAAAGGCTCCCACATTATAAAAAGGTTTCTTTTAATAGTTCCAAGAGATGGCAACTCATGAATCTGAGACAATGTTTGTATAGAAAACTCCATTTCCTTCCACCTTCAGTTAATGCACCATCGACAAGGGGCTGAGACCATTCGATGGGAAAGGGCAGCCTCTTCCACAGTGGAGCGGGGACAACTGGACGTCCACATGCAACTGGACGGAGTGGGACCCCCCTCACACCCCACAGAGCTCACTCAGAAAGGGTAAACACTAAACGTGAGCCAAACAACAAAGTCTACAAAGAAACCCCAGGAGCAGCGCTCCGTGGCCTGGACAGCAGCTTCTTAGCTACGACACCAACAACGCAAGCAGCGAAAGGAGAACACAGGCAAGTGACTGGTCAGAAGTAACAAGGTTTGTGCTGCAAATGACACAGGAAAATAAAAGGGCGCCTACATACGGAATTGGAGGAAATGCACGTAAGGCTTATATCTGACCGGAGACTTGTACCCAGAATGTGTCAGAACTCTTGCAACTCAGCAAAAAAAAAAAAAAAAAGAAAAAGAGAAAAAAGCCTTATTTAAAGTGGGCAAAGAGATTTGAGTATAAAATCTCCCTAAGCGACACAAACGGCCAATAAGCACACGGAACGATGCTCAACATCACTGTCATCGGGAAATGCCAATCACAGGCCAGGCCCCT